GGTGGGGCTTTTCAGCTGAGGGCAGGTGGCTGCTGTAAAACTACTTTCTCCAGTTTCCAAATATAAAAATGTGTTTTGTCACATTTCTAAACTGCAATTATCAAGCATTTTAAAGTCCTCTTACAACTGGATTCTTGTCTCAGTTTTGTAATATTTAATAATAATTGAAATAGCACCACTGCTACATTAATTACAGTCCTCCCTTCACATCTATGTTCCAGATATGTATGCAACCGTGTAACCGTGTCTTTCTGTTGCAGGGCTGTGACGGGCATTGCTGTGACACGAGATGGAGCAGCTATTTTCTCCACCTCCCAAGGTCTGGAAAATATCTTCATATGTCTAATCAGAGACAAATATCGATTATTGTAGAGATCAAAAGACAGGCACTGACTCTGTGAAGGAATTTTGTGCAATAAAATGTATGTAAAATATAATTGAAGCCCCAGTTGATTTCAGAACCGCTGTGCGCTGTTACCCAAGTTATCATCAAGCAGCAAAATGTATCACAGAGCAGGGAGCCTCTTTATAGTCAGGCCTGTCTCATAATGCATTATTTGTAATGCCATTGTGTGATGTGATTTTGTGTGTGCCAGAGATATGTGTTTAACAGCATGGTCACTTCTGCCTCTAGTGGCCCTCTGGGGTTCTTCTATTACCATAATGGTGCAAAATGATGTCACCACAGTAAGAATCTCACACAGGAATGAACCAGTAAAGCAAGAAATGCTCACACACAGCACAGCACTAGAAGTTACAATCAGTTTTGCCTTCAGAAGCTGTAAGATGTACGTCATTGTATTCTGTATTACTCATCTTTATGGCTCTTTATTCCAGACTCAACCCTTAAAATGTATTCCAAAGAGTTGAAGGACTTCCAGAGAAGCATGTCCTTCTCTAACATGGTATGCAGCTGCATTTCACCTTCTCCGTAGTCTTCCTCATGTCTTACTGTCTCTAAAAAAATCAACTCTGACTTTTTTTTTCTTTCAGGCACTATCATCATGTTTGATGCTGGCAGACGGTAAAACTGTGGTGTGTTCTTCATGGGACAACAATGTGTATGTATAGTTCTGTATATGTAGACGTTTGGTTTACAGACAGATTTTCATGACTTCACACCGACCTACGTGTTTCTCTCCCCTCAGTTATTTCTACTCCATCCCATACGGCCGGCGGCAGGACACGCTGATGGGTCATGATGATGCCGTCAGTGAAATGTGTTGGTTTGATGACCAGCTGTACACAGCATCCTGGGATTCCACCGTCAAGGTAAAAGCACTTTAATGAGGCGACGCTATAGTATGATGCCTAAGTTGAGGGTCATACAGACAGATGTGGTGCATGTATTTGTTTTTACGGGGTATGTAGTTGTCTAATTGAGAGGGGAGAGTTGCAGATGATTATTGTTTATTCCACAGGTCTGGCAGTGTGCCTCTGATGGCTCATCCAGTCACAAGAGATCCCAGTTTCAGTTACTGGCTGAGTTGGAACATGATGCTGGGGTGAGTGAGAAGGCTGACTGTATGTTACATGAGTGGGCTGCTTTTAAGGTTGCATCTAGAGCTGCAATGATTAGTCGACCGGAAAATAACGGCCAAGGCATTTTGCATGCCATAATAGAGAAAAGTATGTTTTCAGCCAACTATGGAGATATCAGGATGAATATTTTGGGACTGACAGAACAAGACGTTTAAAGACATCACCTGTGACTTTGAGAAACGGGGAGGGACATTTTTCACTATTTTCTGACACTTTATTGACCAAACAATACATTTATTAATCTAGAAAATAATCATTAGTTGAGCCCTAGTTGCCATTGTCAATCTATGAAATATGTGTATTTAAAGCATGTACAAACATGTGGAGTTTATATTTCATTGATTTAATTCATACAGAGGAAATGGGACCTCTAAATTGTCACGAATAAATCTAAATCTTTATTATCAGAGTGGGAAAAGTTTATTTTCTCTATATGGAATAATCATAATGCTGTGCATGTTTTTTTTAACAAATATACTTAAAGGTTAAAACCCTCCTTAAAAACCTTGAAACCTTCAAAGATAAACATGTTTGTCAAACACTGAAAAGGAGTGTCAGCTCCAACTTGTTTTCTTTCTGTAATATTACCTCTCTGACACCTGCGTACAGGTGAACACCATTGGTCTGAATCCAGCGGGGACTCTGCTGGTGTCCGGCTGTAAAGATGGGGCCGTCACCATCTGGGACACCAGCAGCTACACAATACTGCAGCAAGTCCACTGCCACACTGGGACCATCCACCACATGGCCTTTAGTCCTGGTACGTGTCAAACCAGCCAATATGGCACTTTGAGTGTAAAGCTCTAACTTACATATACTGCAGACAATCCAGCATTATGTGAAAATGCTTGTGTGTGTAATCTATGGTCCACCATCTAAAGTACAATGCATAGTATTATACAAACTTCCCTTTTCCTCTTGGTTTATTCTGAAAGGTTACCAGTCCTATTAGGGGCTTCTTGAATGGTTTATCTGCCTTTCAGTCAGCACAATAGAAATGTTGCCTTCAGGGGTCAGTACAGCACAGTAATTGGTTCTGCATTTCTTTTTAAGCACCTTTTATAGTTTTGCACCTGCAAACCACTTTTACACACTGCACTGAAGTGGCAGCTGTTTGATTTGTTTTGCTCTGTACTATACTGCAGAAAAGAGAGCAACTTGGTTATGAAACACCACAGAAGTAAATGTAGGCATATACTGGCAACGCTGTTTACTCCATTATACCTCATAGACTTTATTGTCCTGGCATTTGGCTGTACTGTATAACTTTGTCTGTTAGCCTTATAAAAACCTGGCACAGTACTGTATACTAGTTGGGCATTTAGTAGTTTCAAGGCTGAATTTAAGAAATGACCTCTGTGGCTCTGAATGTGCATTGGAAAGATCTAAACAAACTAACAAATTGTTCCTGTGTTGGAAGAGCAAATATTGACAGATGCATGTTAAATCAAACCAACCACTGTAACATATAAACTCCTGACAGACTACTTTAAAGCAGTCACTCTGGTTTCTGCATCCTCAGACAGCCGACACGTTCTCAGTGTTGGTGCCGACTGCTGTATGAAGGTTACTGACGTCCAGACGGGAATGGTGATCTCATCAGTGAAAGCCGAGGAGGAGCAAAGGTGAGATACACTGAGAACAAAAGGGGCAGATTACTGTTTAAAGCCAAAAGTGTCATAAATCTTTTAAAAATCATTTTCAAAACTAGTTTCTTTGCCCTATAATGTACATGAACTGGATTAGTACTGTGCAATTCTGTGCATTGATAAATTGATCACTTTGTTTTCTATATGCTGTGTGTTAAACTGACTTTCTGCTGAGCACTTAGCCAGAAGCTTTAATTTGGCTCTTAACAACTCTCGGCCGCTGAGCAGAAAGGTTTATATTATTAATTATACTGTAAGTCAAAAGGATTGTGTCTGTGTGGGTCCAGGTGTTTCTGCTGGGACGGGAACTCGGTACTGTGTGGGGGACAGTCTGGTGACCTCCTGCTGTGGGACCTGCTCAGCAACACGGTCACCAAGAGGATCCCTGCACACTCAGGTACAGCTCACCCCGCCCCCACATTCAACAGCTCACCTTGTTAAAACTGTTGGGATTGTGTCTTCTACTGAGTAACAGCAGTATCACATAAAGCATTTTAATTTACCTTTAAAGAAAGATCATTGCAAGAATATATAATTAATAGATTATCATTATGCGTAATGTGCTCATTGTGAAAATGGTCTTTGTTCAGGGGCTGTCACAGCCATGTGGATGAGTGAGCTGTGCAGCACAGTGATCACAGGTGGAGAGGACAGACAGACCATCTACTGGAAGCTCCAGAGTTAAACAGCTCTCTCTGCACAACCATCTGCCGACGGAGATAAAGACTCCCAGTGCAATATATTGGACAATACTGGCCAAGTAACCTGCAGACTATATGACCCAGCTATCAGAGTCATTACAGTACAGTATCACAGAGCAGTTGCAGGGGGATGACGACTTAAATCTCTCCCAACTGTTCTGAATCCAAACAAAAGGTCATATTCAGTCATGTTAGTTCGTATTTATCTGCATATTGAGAGAAAATGTCCAATTGCAGTTTTGTGCATGAGAGCAGGAAACTAAAACAGCCCACGCCTTATTTTTTTCAGCTTGTTCTACATTTGTGTTTTTTTTCTGCCCCATGTTATGTATCATGTTACACTTTTTAAAACTAGCGATCATGTTTCTATAGCTTTATGTGCATTTTATTCTGTCAAGTGGACTTAAAATGTCTGTCAAAAGCTTCAAGCTGCTCAGGTGTTATCATTACCAAATACCATTGATCTCTAAGAGTCATCTTTCCATCGTCTCTTCTTTGTTACTGTTTCCTAGGCCTCAGAGTTCTACAAACTGTTCAGATTTCAACAAAGTATGTCATGCTGTGGTTGAGATAAACAGCAGAGATACATTCATCATTTTCATCATACGGACTGATATGGAGCTGTGAAACCACAGAACACACAACTAGCTGCTTTACCTCGTGAATAATTATAATGGCACAGCATTCATCAAACAAACAAGACTGTAATAAGTGCCTCAAAAAATGGCTGCACGAACATAAAAGAAAAAAGTTCTTAAATTCTCATGTCAAACAGTGGGGGGCACTGTGCAGCTTTCAAAAACAGATGAGTCCAAACTAAAAAGCTCATCTTTCAGTAATAAAACAGAGAACACATCTTGTAGTAAACATCTTAATGTTCTTTAATATGAAATATATTTACATTATTCAAACTTTAAACATCACCTTCAGATTCATCTACTGGCTGGTTAAATTCAACAGACATTTATGTCTCTATTAAGGAATCTATCAAAGTTAACACAGTGAATATTGGATAATAATTTTAGAGACGCCTCCATTCTGATTCTGCAATGTTTTACAACCTCTCACACTTCAGTGAAGCGGTTTAGTAGCATCCCACTCTCGGGTTCTATCCTGCATTTTTCTGTGGACAGAAGACAAAAAAAGACGTTACACTTATACCACTGCCATGATGTGCTGAGATGAGGGAACCCAAAGTAATCCACAGTGTGTCTGTGACCAGCTCTCCCATCACAAATAGTTATCAATGCTCATGAAAATAGATCCGGTGCTTATGTTTTGGCAACTGTAGTGCAAGGCTTATCTGTCAACAACAACTAATAATAATGATAATAAATATATCTGAATGAAGAAGGTCAGTGTACTTTACCTTGGCTTTGCGTAAATTGGCAAACGCTTTGAGTAACTTGGGTGTTGGTGGTTTTGGTCCAAACAGCGCCATACCTTTCGGCTTCTCTTCCTGGGCTTTAGCACCTGGAGGGCCTTTGGCTTTGGTCAGTTTCCTTAACAATCACACACACACACACACAATTCTCAATGGGTGCCATTGCATTTTTTATGTAGTATCACAGGGTTTGACTGGAGGCTTTTGGAGGTTTGTGTTCGGTGTAAAACAGCCACAGTCGCAATAAAACTGCTGCTCGACTACTTGTAAATGACTCACTTTCCCTTTCTGGCCAGAACTTTCTGAGACTCTGGGTAGTGTACAAGGATATCAAACAAGTCCTTCTTCTCCAGGACAAAAAGATTAGCGAAGCCGTGCGCTTTCACGTTAGCAGTGCGCCTGTTTCCTCCATCTTTGGCAGACTGTAGTAAGCTGTGATGAGGACAGAGGCAAAAATAACATTGGTCTCTTGATGGGAGTGTTTGAGTTATATCTGGAAAATGCATGCGATATGTGAAGACGACACTGTTCAGAAAAAAATATTTTGTTTGCAGGATGTAGATTGTCAAGGAGGATCTTTATCATACATCAACATATCATCAGGGGTAGCACTTAAGCTTGCTAGTCCATTATTATATTGTCCTGTATCTTAAAATTTGAGATTTTTTATGTAAAATTAGGTGTTGAAATTAGGTTTAATTAAGCGTTAATAAGATTTAACAACATTTAACTAAATGAAGGATAAATATGTGACTTGTTATTTTACATTCTAGTTATCACAGATCACAACATGCTCCTGCAGACAAACCTGATTTCTCCAAACACACAAGCCAGCCTTCAGTGTGACAAACACAATGCTGTTGTCAGGTCCTCCCACCACCTGCACCGCTCCACCTTTGATGATGTACATCTCCTTACCGATGTCGCCCTGCAGGGAGGGCAGCATCACACTCAAATAATGGAACCCTTTGATACATTATAGGTTATTTGCTTCATGATGGTCACCGAAGTTTATCACACACGCACAAACATATACTCACTTTCTTGACGACAAAGTCTCCAGGTAGATAGATGATAGACTTGAGCCTCAGTAACATGTCCACCAACATCTGCTGGTCACAGCCCTGGAAGAGATAATATCAAGTTAGTTTTCACTGCTGTATTCAGAACTCTATCACATTTTCCAAAACTCGAACTGGGTTGTTAAAGCTCCATTTAGTTTTAATGCGAGCACAACACACTGAATCACCTGGAACAGTGCGATCTTCTGAAAGGTGCTCAGGTTGATGTCCACAGCGATGGCGGTTTTCATCACCAGAGGCATCTTATCCAGCAGCTCGGACTCATCTGGAGGACACATGGACACGCAAATCTCAATTTAAGCTGTTGAAAGCAAAGCAAAGCTCGATCTGTCAAGATTATACAATTGTGATGATGCTGAGAAAAACGTACACACATTCTCCATTTTTCTGTGCTAATGTATTGTGACCTATGAACCTGCTAATCCTAACAGAGTTTTATCAGAGTCAGAGTTTTAGCATCTCATCAGGTATTTTCATTCTCACAAGGAAACATTTCTGGCTTAAAGGTTTCTGAGACTCACCCAGCATGCCCTGAGCGGCCCAGGTGTAGTTGTACCAGGTCCGCACTCTGTTTTGGACCGACTTGGGGATCGAATTGGTATTCATGTAGGCAACACAGCCATCCATTGATGCCCGAAAATATGTCTCACCTGCCGTTGCTGCTCCTATGACATCTCTCATCTGAAAGAAATTAGATAAAGAATACATCAAAATTTGAATTAAAATTACTGAATGAATCTACTGGTCTAATACCCTGTCCTCTTACCTACCTGTCCAATCAAACTGGAGAACACAAAGACGCCAATGAAAAAGTTTAACATCTGAAAGGTAATCTCAAAGGTGGTTACAGGCTCTGGAAGACCCCCGATGTTGATCAGACTGCGGACTGCATAGTAGTAACAACGCAGGTACCTGTGGAAGAAAAATGACATCCTTTAACACTTTAACTGCCCAGATTTTCTGCATTCACTACTCCCTACATTAGTTTACTACATGGTGAGCAGAAAATTGAGATTTCAGATGGATCACTGACAGGTAAAGTGTTGTTTATTTGAAATGAAGTGAACATACCATGGAAACTATTTTCACAGTACATTATATAGTAAATAGGGAGCGATTTACTATGGGGACACTGTGCATGACATTTTCAGCACCATGGACAAAAACACAAAGAGGGACTGGCTTTGAGTGTTTCAGCACACCAGGGAGCACTGACAACAACGGCAACATCTAATTAGTATAAAAGTCGCAAACAACAAGTACATACGCTGAGCCCTTTCCGTCATACACCCATGTAGTTGTTGCAAGACCCTGGTATACTGAGGCAACAAAATATACACAGGCATTGAGATGGAGCATGAAGAGCAGGTAACCTGTGGTGCGAGCCACTCTGCATTATAAAGAGAGCAACATAAAAGACAAACAAAAAAGAAGGATCATATGAAAGTGAACTTATCTGTTTGTGAAATAATGTGAAACTCTGAAACTGTCAACAGGCATATTTTCTGCAGCTGTTCCAAAGACCAACAAACCGTACAGAACATCTAATGACATACATTTAGACACATTGTACTGGATAAAAAAACAGTACGAGTCTGTTCCAGGAGCATTTACCTCCAGATGTAGGCCTTGGCCATGACGTTCTCGAGCCGATCGCTGAACTCAAAGAAGGACTCAATCTAAAACACACAAGGAAACAAGTGTATTCAAACAAAACAAAAATATATTTATTCTCATATGTATATTATATATTTGATATATTTCTCTGTTCTTTCACATTTACATCATGAGTTAAAATGACCAGCCAGCTCATCTGCCTACCCTGATAAAGCGGTTGAGTCTGTAGATGGAGGAGAATTCAAAGTGCAGGCAGAGAAGGTCAAAGGGAAGGATGCTGATTATGTCAGTCTAAAAAAAAGGAATAAAATAAATAAAAATGTATGAAAAAAACAAGTTACACTTCTGTACTTTGGAGGTTACAGTGAGTGGTAGATGTTTGTTAAATCCAGCTGGGACAAACACAGCGGCGGAAGAAGTATTAAGATCCTTTACTTAAGCAAAAGTATCAGTACAACAAAATGATATGATGAAATATTCCATTACAAGTAAACGCCTCAGTAAAAGTAAATAAGTATTATCAGCAACATGAATTACTTGACAGCTTGATGAGATTGTTAATACTGATGCGTAAGTAGTGTTTTCCTGGTTTAGCTGGTTGAAGTGGAGATTATCACGTTATATACAGTTGGCTAGTTTGGTCTTTTCTTGTAACATTTCTCTGTTACAAGAAAAGTTTTGAAATTTGCATATGTATAGATTCTAGAAAGGTAGAAAGAGTAGATTTTAACGTGGAAATGTTAAAACACTTTACTGTTCCAAGCAGACTATTTGTACATCTTGAAACATGTCTGAAGGGGATCTTTAAGTACAGTACTTGAGTAAATATACTTAGTTAATTTCCACCACTGGACATATAATTATATTCTCACCTTAAATCGTGCTGATTTCCGATAATGTACCTTAGTGAGAGTTCTTTCTTTCTGCAGGGGACAGATGGTTTTTGTGAATTACACACAGTATTACAATTCAGGTGGGTTTAAGAACACTTAAAAGTAATTAATAAAGATTCTTCATAATGCTTTGTGACTTACAATAATGTCTCCACCTTTGACAAACTGCAGCCGGGGCTGCCAGATTATGATGTCAATAACATTCACTATGTCACTAAGAATGTCGAAAGCTGCCCAGTAGGGGTTGATAACTTCATTATGGTAAGGGAAGGCCAGCCGGGCGGTGCAAAACCAAACATTGTAGTTGTAGCCCAACGCTACCACGGCCAACCAGGTTATATACCGATAATCTGGAGAGAGAAAGACATGCAGACGTTATGTTTTCCAAGTATTAAATCTGTTTATTATATCCCAGCTGTCACAGTGTGCACCTCACCTAAAGGATCTAGCGTGTTTCCCAGGACCCTGTCCATCTTGCTCTCAACTGGACGCAGGAGCACGTCAATGAAGGCGAAGTTGATGTCCGGGAGAATCTTTGCTTTCTTCCTGGCCTCCTCTGCCAGCCTCTCCTCCTCCGCCTTCTTCTCGGCCTCCAGCCTTTTCTCCTCATCCTTTTTCTTCTTCTCCTCTGCCTTTTTGGCCGCTTCTTCTGCCTTCTTCTTATCCACCTCTTCTTTTGCAATTCGCTCCTCTTCCTTCTTCCTGATGTAGTCCTCCTTCCTCAGGATAGGTGCTGAACAGGCAGAGAGAGAGACAGTGAGTCCGACATCCCTTTGGCCATGTTTGTGTGTTTGTTTTCTGTCTGCGTGTTGGTGTCCATACTTACTGACAGGTGGGGTGATTTCTGGTGACGTGGCGTACGGGTCAATGGCTTTCTCTCTGAGCTCCTCCGTCCGCTCTTTTAACCTCTTGGCGAACTTTCTGAGTGTGTCATCTGTGTAACGAAAGTAGACAACAGGAGGAGGTGGGGCTTCTTCACTGAAAAGCAAAAAAGGAAGGTGAATAAAGGAATACCACAGAAGAGTTGACAGTAAATCAGAGAGGAGGGAGGTGAGAGGGCATCACTGGAGAATAATATTACGTGGTGAGCAGTGAGAGAGGAAGATTTTCAATAAATGGGACAGGTGGGGCAGTGTAGTTGAAATAGAAGAAGTAGCAGATACACAACTCCATATTAGCTCTTTAAGAGGCTACATGGAGAGAATAAGATTTTCGTAAGACCATCAAATCCATGCTATTATCTCTCAAATTAAGATACTGTACATGTGCATAATCTAATAAAAGAATAAATAAAATAAAAAATCACGTGTTCTCAGTCACAAATAACACTAAGCTCCTAATCTTCTTTCCTACTTTAGGAGTCCCAGGCTGTGAGACACAATATGTCCACTCACTGTACGTATTGTAAGGAAAGACAAAACAAATGCAGGGTAAATATGAGTTTATTTTTAGAGTTAGATAGCAACAGCAAAGTCAAATAAACCCCATTAAACCGTGATAGCTCTTATTGTTTAATTGTGCTGGCTTATACCAGATACCTGGAGACTAAAGGCATGAGCAGTTCCTGTAATGGACAGAGTTCAAGCTCCAGGGTCAAGGTATTCTTAGTCAAGTCAAGTTTATTTGCATAGGTATTGATCACTGTTAGATCGCGTCTCAGATAGAAAAACAAAAACAAACATTTGAGTTTAAGTCCTATATGTAAAACCTAAAGTAACTTTTGAAAGCTGGGTGAAATGTGAGGTACACACAGTATATGATGCATTCTTACCCATCAGCCCCCTCTGGATTTTCAGGAGCAGCAGCAGGAGCTGGAGCTGGGGCAGGAGCTGGGGCAGGAGCTGGAAGAATAATATAGCAGCACTCACTTACACAAACACTAACCTTGCCACGCCATGTTTCTACAGCAGACCAGAAGAGACAAACCAAACATTGGCTATAGATCGCTCCTTTTGCATTTGCATCCCAAGTTGTCAAATACAGACGTGAGCAGTGTTCAGTTAGTTACAATTTGCAACTTCACCACTAGATGCCACTAAATCCTACACACTGGGCCTTTAACGTCTTCATTGTCCTCTGCCAGATAACCTAATTTGCCAAGTGATCTGCTTGAAGCCATATTAGCTCAAAACAGACAGACAAAACTGTCAGACAAAAGGAGAAAGAGTATGTGATGTAACAGTATGAAACTACACTGCACAGGTGCGTGCAAGAAAGTACATGTCAGTCAAGGTGCATGGCTTTTAATTTCTGAAAATCATCACTAATAGGCATGCTGACGTGCAACTGAATAATAATTCAGGTCAAATAAAGTCTTCTCACCTGGCTCTTCCTTCTTGGGCTCTTCTTCTTTCTTCACTTCTTCTTTCTTTTCCTCTTTTTTGTCCTCCTCTTTCTTTTCATCATCTTTCTTTTCCTCTTCTTTCTTTTCATCTTTGCTCATTTCACCCTCTTTTTTTGGCTGCTCTTTTTCATCCTTCTTTTCAGGGGGCTTCTCTTCCTGTAAATACACAGTACTGCTAACAATGTGCAGACAACAACCTCTTGAGACAAACAGGACACCATCCACCCAACCTCAGTTCTAAGACTCAACTACTGTGTTGTGTATCTGGCTGAATGCTATACTAAATGCTCAGGCTTCAGTTTTGATATTTGCTATTGATTCAAGTGTGTACCCAACTACCCTTTCAGTCCTTGCTCAGCAGTTTCCCCTTCCTCAAATTTAGCAAAAATATTGCAGGCCCTGCAACACTAACCCCTCCCTCCCAGCTGAAGCTTCAGTGACTGCTCTTCATCAGTGCCATGCTGCTGCAGAGGCTTTCACTGATTCCTGAGTCACCTGCCATGGTTTGCCTCAAAACAACTTGTATGTACTCAGTGTGACAAGTACCAAGGACAGAACCTTTTATTATTAATAAATTAATTTAACGTTTGATATAAAAACTGCTGTTTTGGGAGCATTTCATGATGAATAAGAAAAATGTGCTGAAAAAAATGTTTTTAAAATACCTTCCAGGTCTAGGTCTTTTAGATTTTAGATAATCTAAAGACGGCCGGCCTTACCTTAGCGGGTGGCGCCGGGGTAGAAGGTGGGGTAGCGGCTTGAGCAGGGGGAGGCTCGGGAGCCCCCATCAACTGCTTAAACCTGCTGAACATGGCGGGGCTTTGTGGTGTCTCCTCCTGAAGACTCTCTCCTATGTGGATCTTAGATCCTTAAAAGTATCCTCCACAGTCCTTGTCACACATCCAAACAACAGACTGAGGCAATTTAATTTCTTAGAGCTGTTAATTCCACATGGGCACTCCCCTTTCTACTGGAGCCAACACCAGATCAACTGTCACTGCCACTCGCAGTGTTGACTCCAGTGGAGACCAATAATTTATTGGCAAATAAGCTGCCATAATAATTAATGAAAGTGTGTCATATTAATAATCATCTATCAGATGAAAAGATGGATTACTTCCAGTCACAGCAGGCTGGAGGACGGGATGTGTTTTCATTATTACAAACTGGTAACTGAGTTTATTGAAAACTACTCTCAGTTTTGCGTCTACATTTCACACGGAACTGAGTGCATTTTTCTATATATTAAATCATGGGATTAATTACAAATTAAACAAATGCCATTAAACAATTAATTTACATGCCACATAACTTGTGTCTGTACGGGCTGAAAGTAGCTGCTGTAAAATCAGACTGACGGGGTTATTTCAGTCCCTTCACAAACACACAGTCCACTTTAGATTAACCCTCACAAAGTCCCAGTCTGGCTAAAGGGATTAGTTAGCACCTCTTTCCCTGTAGCCCCTGCTGCACAAAGACAAAGCTGACAGACGGACACACGACTAGCAAACAAACAGGACAGGATGCAACTAGACATAAACTGTAGTTCAATCAGGGAATTATTTATTTAAGCAGATACCAACAGAGATCAAGTCAATCAAATATTATATTGTGAGAATTACTGTTACCAATTGTTACGACAGATAATCTCTGTTAGGCTTTTACAACTACTGGAAAATACAGCCAATATAAGCAGACAAAACAAAAAAACGGCGAATAGGCAGTGAGTGATACAGTAAAACAAGCAGTATGTACAAGTAACTGACATATATAGACAGATTCAACACATGTCATTAATATCTGTGTTGAAATCTCCTTGTTGTCCAAAGTCAGCTAGCGTCTGCCATATAAGACAATATAGAAGGTGTTATTAATTCACTTTAGTGTGTTTTCACATGTTTACATTTAATTTGTAGGGATGTCTTTACAAAGACAACCCCCGCTTGTCTAGTGCTCTGAGCATCTCAAACCAAATGGTAATAACAGAAGCATCTATTTTAAACATCTTCAAATGACAGGGAATACACACTCAGTACAAAAGAGTAGTAAGAGGTTGAAAATAAAACTGTACATTCACTCCCAAAAAGGAGTTATAAAAAGAAAAGCTCACTACGATCCTTCAGTAGCAGTCTGGGAAAAAGAAATACAAAATATGGTATGTTTAGCAGTCAGCTTAACCACAATGGCTTTTATATGACCCCATATAGACGGAAGTGTACGTGCCGTTACCTTAATTTTGTCAATAATTGTTTTGTTCAAGTTTCCACCGAAGGCACGCAGCATTTTGGGTGTGGGCGGTTTGGGGCCAAACAGTGCGAGTCCTTTCTTCTTCTCCTCTTCTACTTTAGCTGCTGCTGGACCCTTCGCCTTCATTAGTTTCCTACACACACAGAAACAGAGAGGCCACTGAGACATCATGAGGAAATGACACTATGTGCAACCTGCTAAGCAGAGGAATATTGAGTCTTAGAGTGGAGAAATGGGGAAAAAACAACAGTAACAACTGTTGATTGCTGTGCAATCTTAGTTTATTAGTTGATTACCAAAGTTGATTGACAGATAATTCATTTTATAGTTTTAGGTCTCAAAAAAAATTAAAAATAATAAATGCTATTCATCAGTTGTATATATTCTTAAATCAAAGACCTTGATAAGTTATTGTGAAGGTGAGTAATTAAATTATAACTATAAATTATTTCACTCACAAACAATCACTTCTCAGCTCTGATGTCTTTAGCATTGTTCAATTTAGATTACCTCCAACCCACAGAGAGAGAAAAGTGTTTTGTTTTAATTTCATTCACACCATTTCTCGCACCACCACCTTCCTGACTTCAGTCAGGGATGGGAATCAAGAACCAAATTGCCCAAACAAGAGATTATCCATCTCCAGACGAATCAGCACTTAAGTCAACCCGTGAGACACTGCTGTGACAGCCGAATGACAGAAACAATACAGCTGTCTGTCTTTAGGCGTCTAACTCACTTGCCCTTCCTGGCCAAAACTTTCTGAGACTCTGGGTAGTGGACCAGGATGTCAAACAGGTCTTTCTTCTCCAGGACGAAGAGGTTAGCAAAGCCATAGGCTTTGACATTAGCTGTCCGCCTGTTCCCTCCATCTTTGGATGACTGCAACAGACTGTGGAAAAAAAGACATTTCATGACTGAAAAATTCCTTGAAAGTGTTCTTTGTTTGTGGATGTGAACAAATCTGCTGATGTTTATCACAGTGGGATAACTTGAGTTTACAATGCTCTATGATTTTTTTCTTCACACTGTGTATTTGGGGCGAACAAATGGAGAGTGTGAACTTAATCCTACCTGATTTCTCCAAACACACAGC